GCTTGATCGGTCTTGGTGGGGTGTGCTATTAGGGGTTGAAGACAGTGGCTATTTGGATGGGGAGGTAAGACTATATTTGTCTTATATATGATTTTGATTAATTTGTTTAAAAATTAATGTAATTCACTAATATATGTATTTTTTTTATAAAACAGCATATCGATGCGTGGGTGTCACGTCTACTAATAATAAGGAAGCTTAGGAAAAATAAAAAAAATTTGCTATATACAATAATGCCGACGGCTTTTCACGCAGTTCACTTGAAGAATCAACGAGATGAATCATTTTTGTTGGGCAATGGACAAGCTAAACTTTATCCTGCATGGTGGGAGGTCGATAAGGTTAGTGTTTATTTTTTAAATTTTTTAAAGGTGTTAATAAATAAGTGCGCAAATAAATGAATTATTACTTATGATTTCAGGTGTTTATCCCTGTTTTGGAACGTCGTCACTGGCTTCTCGTCCAACTTCAGCTCCCATCCCTGAAGATAATAGTGTATGACAGCATGATCAATTACATATCACTGTCTGATTTGAGAGATATTTTCAAGGGATGGAGCTCTCATTTGGCTAAATTCTTGGATGGGATTAAGTATTGGACTCATTCTGGACACAAGAAGCCAAAGAAGTTCAATGTCACAGTTGTCAGAGACGAGACCGCGCCACAGCAATCGCCGGGAGTCAGAGGGGATTGTGGTCCTCTCGTATGCCTTTGCTTGGCGCGTTTGACGACGGGAAGCACAGAGTTTTTACCTCCCACCGATAGAGATAAAGCTGCAGTAGGCTTGTGGTTTTGGCATTATATGGCTAGAGCAATATATTCGAGACGCTGCCTACCTGCATCCGCGTTATGAAAGTGTCCATTGTTAATTGGTAAGTCAAATGCAAGTTTTGTTAACATATATACTCCTTTTGGTTTGAAAATGTTTGGTTAAGTACCTAGAATTCAATAATAATTGTTAAAAGTTTATACATGTTAATCCTCGTTGCCTTTTTCATTTCGCATTGCGATTCTATCGTTGCGATTTGCATTTCGCATTGCGATGGTCAAATGATTGCCTTTCGCAACGCGATTCTGACTCGCAATGCGAGTTTCAAAGTTCGCAACAGGTTTTAGTTTCGCAAGCCAAATTTTGCGGTCATCAAAGGCATACGACAACTTAGTCCAGGTAGCTTTCCATATATACGAACCCCACGGAAACAGATTCCATGCATTTAGGTCCTCTACCAATAATATTAGCTCCTGAGGAATAGGTTGTCTGGCCTCTCTGCCTAGAAAGCCGGCATACAAAAGTAGTAGAAGGCATACTCGGACAACATCGACGTCATTCATCCGAGTAAAACCATCTTTCTTATTAAATAATTTCTTCATGTCGTCGACGTGTAAGTTCGACTTCTCTATTGACTCATCAGGAAAAACCCTGGATAACCATGATGGGCGGGTGATATGACGAGTGTACCGGCCTACATCATCGTGTCTGAATCGTAGACCAGTGATTAAGCAGAACTCCTTCCGCCCAAAACAAGTATACGCCGGTGGAAAATGAAACCATATCTCTTCCTCACCACGTTGTATACTGTCGGGTAGATCGCTAGTCATGGTCTGAAGCCACAAATGGGTCAAACTAGCATCTCCACCCGGATGCTGTACTCTAAGCCATGGCCCGAAGCAGGTTTCTTCAAACAATTTTCTTTGTGCAGGTGAAAGCTTCGAAGCAATGTAGTGGCTAGGCTAACTTTATTCCTTAATGTCAATGAAGCCGAAAAAAATTTCTACAAAAAACAATAACATATCAAGTTAGATATACCAAAAATTACACTGTCAAGATATACCAAAAACAAAACAATAAACATAAATAGTAGTTTATTCTTGAAACTAAAATTTACAACACTGTTTTTGTCTTTTGGTTGAAATGAAAATCGCAACGAGATAATGAGAATCGCAATGCGAAATGACTATCGCGACCAGACAATCGCAACGCGAAATGAAAATCGCAACCGCGAAATAAAAATCGCAACGCGAAATGAAAATCGCAACGCGAAATGAAAATCGCAATGCGATTTTGGTTTCGCGTTGCGATAGTTATTTCCGCGTTGCGATTTTCATTCTCGAAACTATTCTTTCTTCTGCATTACTTCAACCAAAAGACAAAGCAAAGACAATACTAACTTCACAGGCTAAACAGTTTAGCAGTATTGGCAGCAATCGAATGAATTTAATAAGAAATCTAAGTGAAATGGTTAATCTATTATTGAAATTACCAGTAAACTTATCATCAATCTCAATATGAAAAACCTAAAATAATGCAAAAATTTCAAAATAAAATAAAAAAAAACTAACCCTCGTAGGTTGATTTTCCATTTCTGAATGATTGTGAGGGATTTTTTGACTGTGAATGGTTGTGAGGGATTTCGCCGGCGATGGGGACGGAAATCTTCGGAGATGGGTACGGATTTCGCCGTAGAGAGTGAGAGATGGATGGGACTGAGTGTGTGTTTTTGGGTTTGAGGTTATGAGTTGCGATTACTGTGGACGGTTCATTTTCCGATTTATTAAGAAAAAATACGTGTTTGGAATTTGAAAAAAAAAATACGCGTTAATACGAATGGCGATTATGTAAATCGCGTTGCGAAAGTCAGTATCGCGTTGCGAAAGTAAGTATCTCGTTGCGATTTTGTATTATCGCATTGCGATAGTAAGTATCGCATTGCGATTTTCCCAATTCGCGTTGCGATTTACTTATTCGCATTGCGATTTTCCCAATTCGCGTTGCGATTTACTTATTCGCATTGCGAATTGGTAAAATCGCAACGATACTGTAGACCATCGCAACGAGATTTTCAACTATCGCATTGCGAAAATGCAACGCGAATTTGCGATAATGGAGATCGCGTTGCGAATTAGCGATCGCATTGCGATTTTGTTGGTCATTTTGGCAAATCCGGAAAAAGTTGGTTAAAATCGTATATTATATGAGATTTTTGGTCACTGAGGTTATTTTCTCTTAATAGAATGCTTATGCTTCTTGATAGCCATCATATTTCCTTTACATAATCAATTTATTCTAGCCTTTTACTTAAACCTATATTATGATCAATTTATTCTGACATTTTCAAGTTCAAATTTCTTCTTTTACACTCGAATAGGATATCAGTAGAAAGATTCCTTGATTGAGGTCCTAAAGAACAAATTTGTTGAGCATAAAAAACAGTTGACTAAGCGTACTCAAATGATTCCACATTATTCTTCTTTCAATTACGTATTCGCTTAAAGAGATTATATAGTTGATAGAAATAAAATGGGATCACTTATTTATGTGAAATGATTCGATTCATTCCCTAGATAGATGACCATTTACATCATGATATATTTATATATATAATGAAACTTAAAAAAAAAAAATAGAGAATTTAGGTGAAAGGATAAACCTAATTGAGAAACATACGGTCAAATTTATTAAAAATAGACTTCAAATTAAATAGATCGGAGAAACAATAAAATTAGGGATTAAACCATAAACAATCAAATTACTTGATTAAATATCAAAATGATGTCATTTTATTTTCTATTATTCGAACTTTACAAAATTTAAATCGATTCGAATTCAAAATTAACTCGAATAACTCAAAATTTTAAAAATAATATTTTTTGGGTAAAGTACAAAAATGATATGTCGGTTATATGATACTACTTTATTGAGTCCCTTGACTATTAAAAGTTACAATGGTCACTCAACTATTCGTTATATTTCAAACTCGTCCTATTCCACTAAAAATATTCATGATCGTTTGAGTCAGACGTTAACATTTTGACGGAGATATGATAGTCGTTTAAGATTATGAGATCATATTTTATCATATCTAAGGCATAAGGTTAGCATACAGTTTAGACTGCTGTCAAATTTTTAACGAAAAATGACGAGTTTGGAACATAATGAATAGTCGGGTGAACATTTTGTAACTTTTAATAATCAAGGGACACAACAAAGTAACTCCCTATACTTAGAGGATCATTTTGCAACTTTTAATAGTCAAAAGACTTAATAAAACAATATCATATTGTCGGAGGACCATTTGTGTACTTTATCCTATTTTTTTTAATTAAATTCTACTCACCCATCACGTAATCGACAAACTACGAGAAGCGAAAAACATGGGAATGCCGAAGCCTAATGACTTGAGAAACGTGAGTTTGACATAGACTAACGTGATCCCGTGGTTTTAATAGGTGTGCAGTGCATGAAGAATGATGAGAGCAAGAGAATTAAGTCATCATTTTGATTATTGTTACATTAAATACATATTCACGGAATCACACAATACCAGATTCCGATGAGCCACTCAAGAACCCAAATAGGCAACAAAAAATACTTTAACTTTTTTAATAGCATTAATAGGCCAGGTGGTTGCAGTTGGGTTGACCACAAGCCGATTGGGCACCGTCATCGAGCCGACCAATAATTAAATTACAGTTCATCAGGACAGTCCGGCATGATGTGAAAAAGTAGGGAACTTGTCTGGTTTTTAGATCTTTGAAACACTCTCTTAGGTACCAATAGTTTCCAAAGCTTTGAATGTGCCTGCTTGCTTTATTGCCAACATTTCAGTAAATAAGAGAAAATGCTGAAAGTTGAAACCCATGTGAGTAGAGACTCAAATCTCAGCTTGGGTCAATCATAAATTGCGCTCGGATCTTTATCATTTCTAAGCACATAGCTGGAATTAGGACCACAAAATGATAACCCTCACCTTTTTATTTATTTATTTTGGTGTTCATCAGAAAATTAGAAGCATATCAATGGAACACGCTCTTATTTTGAAATCTAGACAAGCACAACTTAATTATAACCCGAATTGCAAACAAAGGAAAACCTCTTTGGTAGTCCAGGCTTTGAGTTAATCTCAAACTTTATCCTCATAAATTAATCTGCAAGCTACAAAACAGTTGCTTAAAACTCTGGTTTTGATCGAGATATGAAAGGAAAATGTATATACAATAGCAACCTATGTTTTCAAGTGAAGAATGGACGAGGAAGGGTAGCAATGGTGCCATGATGGGTAGCACGTTTAAACAATCGTCGCCATGTCTTCAACTGATTCATAAGCTGCTTGTAAACACCGATTCTTTCTGCCGAAATACTAACCACCGCACTCTTCCTTAGCTTCTTCAATTTCCCCCCGATCTTCACCTTCAGCCTACACAATCTGATTCGTATAAACGATGGTTTTCTCCTACAATCCGCTTGCTCCATCACTTTGTAGATCAAGAACTGAGCTCGTCGATGAATTAACTCCTCCGGGTCTTCCTTATCCACCTTTGAGTATCCATTTGATCTCCTCAAAATCCCCATTTTGTTTTGTTTTGTTTCTCCGGAGAGAATTCTACTATAAGAAGGGGAGTTAAAGAGAGCAAGATGAGACTTTAGATTGAAGCAATATTTATAGGGGGGATGTATGTATCAAAGCAATTGAACAAGTCATATGGTGATGACGCTGTACATGTGAATCAATATTAATTTCTTAAATATAACAATCATAATGGAGAAAATATATGTTTTTAATTAGCTGGCCTTTTCGTAGTGAGAAAACTGACCTGATCTGTTCTGCTCAGGAAACAGCATGCCACTACTTAATTACCAAGCTTTTAAATGAATGCAGGTTAGTTCAGATTTCACCAAATCAGGTTTAGTTTGGTTTCTTGGTTTAGTTTAAAAACAAGAAATAAATGAGTTCAGCAAATGCATGGATTATGGCGAAGTTTTATGTCCTAAGTCAGGCACGTTAAGTATATTTAAATCGTTGACAATTATAGAATCCAATGAGGTGATATCATCAATGAATCCATGGCATTTAGACCTAATGAGAACTTCAATGTTTTCCTCTCACGAATGTAATTACCGTAAAAACAGGATTATGCTGTCGTAAATCAAGGTAAAAACAAGTTCATCACATAGTGATTCCGATTATTTATGTAATTTACATTAGCGACTCTGATCATGATCCTGGATGAAAAGAAACAAGTGGTTGAATTGAATATTTGTTGAAGCTGGATCACTCCAGCTATTGATGAGACACCACATCTGGAAGTAATACAGTAGAAGAGTGTAAAAATTTGAGTTTCAGTGTTTTATTGGTTGGGTTGGGACAGACAGAAAAGAGATGTGTGAAAGTCAAAGGTAGCCAATCTAAAACAGACCAAGTTTCCACCGGCATGACATGTCTTGAAGCATCTTTGATAACCATTAATTATTGTCCTATTTTATATTATCAAAAGGCATTTCCCTTTTGCAAGTCATCCTACCAACGATGGATTGTATTTTGCTCATAACCCATCGACTAAAGTATATATTGAAAAAAAAAAGGGACAAATTATTTCTGATTTTCTTTGAAAACTAAGAAAGTGATCAGTAGGGGAAAGAGAAAGGCATCTGCTAGTCTCTATACAATGCTCATTAATTAAGACTTATACCTGTCTTCTAAGTTCAATTTTTAGTTTTAACGTTTTTACTATTTTTTAATAAATTTAATCCTTCACTTCATCATGTTAACATCGTTAGTCTGTAAATATTTTTCATAAATATATCAAGTGGACCAATCAAATTTTATGTATTGACCCATTTATTAATAAGAAACGCAGCTCCCTTTTCTCTTGTTTGTTGCACAGATGCCGGATTACGGCTGAAGGGGTAATTAGATATAAGTTCAACTAACTTCGATGTTTTTATTAATAATCTGGACTGATTATAGGAAAACATTTATTTATAACGTTTTAAATCAATCGACAATGCATATACATCCAGCAAACGTAGATGCTCAAACTCAAGACCTTTAAGAAGAAAAACATTCCTTTTTACCACCGCTATTGCAAATTAAACTTACACCGACAGTGAACAAAAATAATAAACTCATAAAAGAACGTGATTAATGAATTCCAAGAGAAAATTAATGATCTTATTTTTCTGCACAGCAATACACAAAATTGGACATCTAATAGATCAAGTATAAAGTATACACAGACGTATACATATTCCGAGAAATATGTATTTCTTAGTGTTCATAAAAGAAAAATACATCTAAGCTAACTGGTCATTTGTAAAAAGGACTCCTAAGAACTTGAACATTATTGAATTCATTGACAAAATTATTCCACCATCCAACATTGGCATCAATTGAGCAAAACCTGCATCATGCTTAACCCACGGATCCCTCGAGCTTCAAACTCATGAGTTGGTTCACCTCAGCACCATACTCATCTGGAAGCTCATTGAAAACGTCACGGCAAAACCCAGAAATCATGGCAGCCATGGCCTTCTCCTACTCTATTCCCCTCTGTTGAAAGTAAAATAACTGATCTTCACCGATTTTGGAGGTGCTTGCTTCATGTTCAACGCGAGCTGATGGATTGTTAACCTGTTAAATAACAGCAATCCAATCATAAGCAACAAAATGGAGCTCCTAGCTTCTTGATGCAACAACTAACAACGGTCAATCATACATAGTAATGTAAGGTAACTATTACAAACAAGCATCAAGCAGAATTGTGCCAAAACAAGAATGAGAATAAAATTCTATCCCGACTGGTATTCCATAGGTGGTCGAATAAAGTATCTCATATTAGTAAACATGACTGTGAGAGAAAACTTGCTTATGGATTGATATTATGGAGCATGAACGGTATAGGAGTGAACATTATTTCAACTAAGAGCAAGGACAGTTAGACACAGATGACAGGAAGTTGGATAGACAGGAAAACACATGTATGCCAAAATATCAATCCAAAAGCTTAAAGTTTTTTTTTTTTTGCAGAAGTATATTACCACAGGTAAACAGGAAAGCAAATAAAAGAGAGGGGAGTCACCTACTAACCCCAAATGATACAATCATAAAAAGGATGTAATAAAAACTTGTACGGACACATAATTTAACATAATATACGGGGAAAATGGCAGAAAATCAATATACACACCTAAATGTAAGGATAGGTGTTTGCAGCAGCATTATCACCAATAAGCATTGAATCACATTGCGCGGAATTTTTAGCATTCTCTGCCTTTGATTGAACCTGAACCAGCCCCCGATAACAGTTTCTTGAATTTTCAGCAGAAATACCCTTCGAGATAATCCTACTTCTTGTATTCTTCCCCTTGTGTATCATTTTTGTACCTGTGTCCGCCTGCTGATAGTTATTTGTGAGTGCCACTGAGTAAAACTCGCCCACAGTGTCATCACCCTCCAAAACAACACTTGGGTACTTACAAGTTATGGCAGACCCTGTCTCCACCTGGGTCCAAGATATCTTTGATTGATCTCCAGCACAAAGTCCACGCTTAGTAAAAAAATTATAAATCCCACCTTTTCCTTCCTCATCACCGGCATACCAATTCTGCATGGTGGAGTATTTAATCTCTGCACCCTCAGCACAATGCAACTCAAAAACAGCAGAATGAAGCTGATTCCTATCATAAGATGGTGCCGTACATCCTTCTAAATACTCCACAGAACTTCCCTCATCAGCAACAATCAAAGTCCTCTCAAACTGTCCAGTTTCCAATTCATTAATCTGGGAATAAGTTGAAATCGACATAGGGCATTTTGTATCCTTTGGAATATAACTGAATGACCCATCACTAAAGACAGCATTATTCAAAGCTGCATAATAGTTATCATTACTAGGCACAACTCTCCCCAAATATTTCCTAACTAATTCAGGGTACTCCCTAATTGCCTCCGATATCGAACAAAAATGACCTCAGACTTTTCTAAAGTCTTCCTATGAGTAGTAGCAATTGAAACACTATCAAGAACCGCATCGAGACATTAGCCAATCGATTACGTTCATTCAAAGGGACACCCAATCTATCAAAGTACTTTAGAAGTTCAGGATCAGCCTCATCTAAGCTATTCAAAGTTGGCTTATTTTTGGGTGCAGAGTAATATCAAATATCCTGGAAATTAATAGGCGAGTAACGATTATCAGACCATTTGGGTTCTTTCATTTTCAAATATTTATCATAAGCATTCAATCTAGACCCCAGTATCCAATCAGGTTCTTTCTTCAGAGAATAAATTAAACGAATTGTCTCTTCAGAAAGCCCTTTGGGTATCGCAAACGGTGCGATGTCCACAGTGAAGCCATTTTTTTATCATAATCACGGTTTCGAAGAATTTTCCGGATTTGTCATCGTAGGACTTACCTGACGAAGAGCTGGGATCCGACGTGAGGGTTTGAGGATCGAAACCAACATCTGCTCTGACCTTGAATAGACTTGAGTTGGGATATTTTGGGATTATGGGTTTCACGAAATCGAGCTTCAGGTATAACACTTTAGGGAGCTTGATTGTATCTGGGGTAGGCTGCGGTGAGAAGCTCGAGATGCCATTGGCCAGCAAGGAAGACATGTTTACGACTGTGGCTTCAGGTTAGAGAAAGAGCACCAGAAAACAAAACAATAATTTAAGGAAAGAAAAAATAGGGTAAAGTATAGTCATGTTCACTTAACTTTTCTGAAGCTTGCATTTAGATCTTAATTTTTAAAATTTATAATATAATCCTCTAACATTTAGTCTATTTACAATGTGGTCCCCAACGTAACCGGCCGATTGACGCTGTTAGAAGAAGATGACATGGTAGTCATCCAACATTTAGTCCGTTTGCAATATGATCACTGAATTTTTCAAGCACTTGCATTTAGATCCCCTACTTTAAAAAGTTGCAACATAGTCCTCAATTTCATTCTAAACCCTGAATTTCAAAATAATTCAATTATATTTTAAACCTTAAATTCTAAAATACTTCAATTTAGGGTTTAGAATGTAATTGAAGTATTTTGGAATTTGGGGTTTAGAATGTGATTAAAGTGTTTTGGAATTTTGAACATGAATTTGTTAGTTGACATTGTTTACTTCAATATAAATTTGAGGTTTTTTTGCATACACATCCAACGGCTGTCACACTTTGAACATGAAAAGTGCACCTATCACGTTTAATTTCAGATCCTTGACATGCAGTTCCAGAAACATAAAAATCTCAACCAAAAACACACGATGCGAGCTGAAAATGGGAAAGTACAAAAGAGGAAAAACTTACTTCCGAATAGCCCAAAAGAGAAAATAAATACCTTCTTGCAAGTGAGGGGAGAGGCTAAGAAATAAATGCAATCAGTGTTGTGTTTCAGCAATTCTTTCTCCATTTTTTCTTTGTAAATAAAAAACTGAAAGACAGAGCACTGTTTAGGTTTACAATTTTACATCGCGGAAAACTGAAGAACAAAAACCAAACGAGAGTGCATGTGAGCGAAAGAGACTGACAGGTGAAGGCGCTGTTTGGGATTTCATTATATTTAATCATCTGTTGGAAAATCTTTAACCACAAGGATTAAACGAAGAAATTATTATATGTCATTTATATAAAATAATTCTATTTTTGTTGGTGACTTTTAACAATGATACTTAGTTCATCTTAGTAGTATTTGTCAACTCTGTATTTCTAACCCCATTTTTTTCTCACAAGCATTTCATCGAACATCTATGCTTCACCTATGATGACATGTATCTAACATTATACCTTGAATCGTTGATGGTCCCTATAGTCCCTTGGTCGGGTCTTCTCTCAATGGACTCATATTCAAGTCAACACCTCAACAAAATTCAAAGTTAGATTAGAATTTCTCATGCATCCCCTACTGAAAAGTTACGTTGGAAATGAGAAGAGAGAAGCGAAAAAGGAAATTTGAGATCGAAAAGGAATTTGGGGTTTAGAATGAAATTGAGAAATGTGTTGCAAGTTTTAAAAGTTGGGGGACCTAAATGCAAGCGCCTGAAAAGTTTAGTGACCATATTACAAACTTACTAAATGTTGGAGGACCGCCATGTCATCTTCTTCTAACGGCAGTGTAACGGCGTCAAACGACAAGTTACGTCGGGAACCATATTACAAACGGACTAAATGTTAGAGGATTGTATTATAAGTTTTAAAAGTTGGGGGACCTAAATGCAAGTGTTAGAAAAGTTCTATGACCATTACTATACTTTACCCTAAAAATAAACGTAAAATTAGAAATGGATTTTCATGGCTTCTAATTTTTCTTGATACCATAGTGTTTAGGGCTGTAAAAAGCTGACTCGACCTGCAAAACTGACTGAAACCGACTCGAGTCAAAACTGTTTTTGACCTGCACTGTTGCGATCCGAAACCGACTCGAGTCGGAACTAGTGTTGACCTGAACCCGATTTGGACCTGGAAATTGATGATCTGAATCTGACCTGAACCCGAATTGAACCGAAAATATGATACCCGAACCCGAACTGCATCCGACTGATATGAACCCGAACCCAAGATTGACCTGGTAAATAACTGGTATTACCTGACCTGTTTTCAACCTGACCTGTTATGAACCTGACTTGTTTTCTGACTTGTTTTTAACCTGACCTGTTTTTAACTTGATCTGTAAATGATCCGACTTGTTAATGACCTGATATTATATTTACTTGACTTATATATTACCATGGACGAAATAATAAGATTTTAATAAAATTATGAGTTTCTTAACTTAGGATGTAATTAAAAAATTAATATGATTAATTTTTTAATGTTATAATAAAATATTTATTATGATAATTAAATTAACAAATAAACCTATTATATAAAATTATTTAATAAAATTAATAAAATTATTTAAAAGTAAATTAGATACTAATTACAACCCTCAACCTCGAGTTGAACAAACATTTCCTTTCCTTTTCTTTTTTGGGTAAACTACTTCAATGGTCACTAATGTTTGGGTAAGTTTTTGTTTTTACTATTGATGTTTCAAAAGTCACAAATTGGTCACTAAATTATCGTTTGTTACAAATTGCTCACTTGCCGTTAACGAGCGTGACGAAAAACACACGTGGTCTGTTAAAAGCTGTTAAAAGGCTTCCTGGATGGTATAATTATACAAATAGTCCATTTTATTTATATATTCTTTCAATTTGATCCTAGTTTTAATAAATTAAAATATATTTATTTTTAATTCTTATAAATAATGATATATTTTTATACAAAATAATTAAATGTTTAAGTCCAACGGCTTTAAAAAATGAAATAAAAAATGTAAAATTAGTTATAAAAACAAATTATAACAAATAGGGTATTTTTAAACACCCTATTCTTTGTTATATCTTACCATTTTTCTATAATGACTAATGAGTTAATTAGGATCATAATTATCATTCTATTCTTGATTTGTTAACTATTAAAAGAGGTAACTTTTTAATGAAAATTTTACTTCAATAACTTTTAGTTTTATGGAGTACATAATTTACAATACTTCAACAATATACATGTATGAAAAATACCTGTAAAATGTATTTCTTTTTGTAAAATGGAAACTGTAATTTAAAAGAAAAAAAAAAGGCCTTCGATATTTTCACTCAATCTTCCAGGCAATAAGGAACAGGTTGAATTCCGATGTAGTGTCGACGCCTAGTGTAGAATAATACTTACTTTCACTGTCGTTGTCTCCTCTGTAGCCACTTCCTTCTTTGTCACTCTCCGATTCGGCCATCACCAGCTTGAATATAAACACACCGTGGCCGGTACCAAGGTTGCTGAACAACCAGTCATGGACATCCCACATGACTTGAACCGGTTGCTTATCAACCAGAATAGTCTGGTTCCCTCTGAATTTCCATTGCAAATTCTTGACATGAACCAAAACTACACCATCCATGCTGATCCACATTTCAGGGTCCTTTTTTCCAGATATTGAACTCTCAACAACGATGTCATATTCTCTGTTTTTTTTATCGAATCTAGCTTGGGTCGCGTACAAATTCAGCCAGATCGACTTCAAAACTGGATTTAAAAACTATAACTAGTCACGTACTGCCAGTGATTAGTTCATGCCACCAATAAGGGAAAAACAATTGGTACAATATGCATGCACATCCATAATTTCTATGTTACTAAAAGATTTTCAATCAAATGCAATAATCTTCTCACCGAAGATCAGGAGCCATGAACAAACCTTAGGGGTTGGTGATAGCGGGGCAGCACCACAGATGAGAGTGAAATACCCTTTGTTGCCAACTTATACATGGCCTCTGAACCAGCTTGTTGCTGCTTGAAACTCTTAGACTCAAGAAGGTCCAGAAGCAGCTCCAGTCCTGGAGGGAATTGTTGAGCACCATCAATTAGGAAATGTAACCCAAAAATAGAAACAACTAAAGGATATCATTGTGAATGAAAAAAACAATGTCACAACATATAATGTCTATACAGTCTCGTGACTTTTTGCTACTACAAAAACTATTGGTTTAACCTAACTGCAAATGCAAAGTATAAAAGAGCCAAAAGCTAGCAAAAATAAACTCACTTTTCCATTAATTTTTTTCCTCCAATCTCTTCAATGTCTTTGCTACACAATCTTTAGTTGGCTGCAATATTACAAGGTATACTAAATGAATATCAAACTAGGAAAATACACAAGTCTTCTGACTATAAATTCTTAGGGTAAGCAAAAAGAATTAAATAAATTAATTTGAAACAACATGGTAAAAGCAGAATCCTAAAGCATACCTGAAAAATGAACTCTCCTTCCAGGAGTTTCTGAACAACTCCAGTCCTGATAAGATCTACAACATTATCCTAAAGAATAGAATAGTTGTAAGCACCTCTAGACTCACTTTATAAAAACTGCAGTTCAAGTTTAAAACAATACAGTGAAACAATGCCCTCTACCTCATTATCAGCAAGGCCATATAGGGAAAATGCAGAATTATGTTGCAGTGGTCCACTTTTTGAGTCAAGAAGATTTAGTAGTGGCGTGATTCCACCATTTAGTATAATTCCAGCTTGATTGTGTGTGTCCTGCAAAATAAAAAACATTAATTGATAAAGCACAACCCTAAAAATCCATTAAACATCTAGGAAAGAAATTAAAACAAGTAATTCAGCATAAATACATATGAACTCATCAACTTCCTTAAGCCCTGTCACAAACATGAGACTTACAGTTGTTTCAAATACCATGCAGATAATTTAAACCTTGAAAGACTGCAAATAAATACAAACCTGGGCCAACCGTCCAAGTGCAAATGCAGACATTTCCTTGAGTTGCACATCTGAAGATGTAAGCATTTCTATTAAAGGGGGAACATCTCCTCTTTGGACAATTGTGTACCTGTAGAATTCCATCTTCAATAACTTTTAACAGAAAGATATATTTGCATACTGATAAGTTGCAGCTATGCATACTGATAAGGTCCCTCGGTGGCAATCTTATACAGACCGTAAAGCTGCAACTGCACCTCGTTAGGAACCTTCTGCGATAATCGATCCGCCGCAACCGCCGCCACGAACGCCGTTGCATCACTAAACGCATCATCCAGCTCCGTACACTCTACCCCTTCCCATTCGTCGTCATCATCATCCTCGCCAAGGCCATCACCGCCGCTGTCGTTCCTAAGACTCCCCAATTCGGCGAGCACCAAATCCGATAGTAGAAAACCCGCATTTTTTGGCGCCACAGTTTAAAAGAATGACCAATGGGACCAGTTTTCAGCTCGTTCATTTTAAAAGAAGAAAAAAAAGAGCAAGGGAGCCCGCTTGTTTTTGGCGCCACAGTTGTAGCCTTATGGCTTAAGCGAGGGAGAAAACCCGCGTGTTTTTTAATTTCATTTTACATTGTATTTTTGTCTCTTAGTTTTAAATTTATTCAATTTACTTCAAAATTAATGATTTAATATATTAATTTAAGCTTCATATTTCAACTTTTTTAATTTAATCCAAATTTAATGTTATAATTTATTAATTTAAGCTTCATATTTAAAATTTGTTCAATTTGATCCTTATATATTTTTCAATTCTTTCAATTAATATATATGTTTATATTAATAAATTAATATATAATATATAAATACTATATAGTTTATATATACTAATGAACTAAATAATATATAGTTTGTATACACCATATACTATATAGGTTATATATACTAATGAACTATATAATATATAGTTTATATATACTATATAATTTATATATAGTAATGAACTATATAATATATAGTTTATATATACTAATGAACTATATATATTATATAGTTTATATATACTAATAAACTATATAATGTATATTTTAGGATTTAGGGTTTAAAGTTTTTATATATAGTTCATATGTAAATTATATTATATAGTATATATAGTTTATATATATATTATATAGTATATAAATATCAACTATAATATATATATATAGGTCACATGTAAACTATATAGTATATAAATATCAACTATAGTTTATATATATAGTTCATATGTAAACTATAGTTCATATGTAAATATTAACTATAGTTTATATGTAAACTATAGTTAGTATATAAACATAGTTTATATGTAAACTATAGTTCATATATATAGTATATAAATATAAACTATAGTTTATATAAATAGTATAAAATATAGTATATAAATATAAATTATAGTATGTAGTTTATATAAATATAAATATAAACTCTACATCATAAACCCTAACCCTAAACTCTACACCCTAAACATTAGACCCTAAACCCTAAGCCATATATACTATATATATATAAACTATATAATTTTTATATATATATATATATAATATAATTTATACAATATATATTATTTATAATTATACATAATATATAAATATAAATTGTATAGTTTATATATAATTCATATATAATTTATATATAAACTATGTAGTTTCTATATGGTTCAATAGTTCATATATAAACTATATAGTATTATAGTTTATACATGGTATATATAGTTTATACTTTATACATAATATATATATAAACTATATAGTTTATATATATAATACATATACTTTATATATAAACTATATAGTTTATATTATATATATATATATATCTAAGTTGTTTTAATTTTTTTCTCAACTTATTACTTATTTATATTTAGTAATTGGCTCATAACTTTTTAAATGAGTATAATTTAGTACATTTTGTATTAATTTCAACCTCAAAATTTAAAATTATTTCGATTTGATTATTTTTGTGTTGTTTAATATATTTAAATTTTTATTTGTAATTTCATATTTGTTCAATTTAGTCCTCCAAATTTTATTTGCACATGAAATTGACCCATACTTATTACTTATTTCTATTTTTAAATTGGCCCATAACTTTTTAAATGGGTATAATTTAGTACTTTTTTGTATTAATTTTAACCTCAAAATTTAAAATTATTTCGATTTGATCCTTTTTGTGTAGTTTAATATATTTAAATTTTTATTTGTAATTTCATATTTGTTCAATTTAGTCCTCCAAATTTTATTTGCATCTGAAATTGACTCATACTTATTACTTATTTCTATTTTTAAATTGACCCATAACTTTTTAAATGGGTATAATTTAGTACTTTTTTGTATTAATTTCAACATCACAATTTAAAATTATTTTAATTTGATCCCTCATCAATGTGTGTTGTTTAATTTATTTAAAATTTTATTTGTAATTTCATATTTGTTCAATTTAGTCATCCAAATTTTATTTGTATATGAAATTGATCTATACTTATTACTTAATTCTTGTTTTTTTAATTGGCCCATAACTTTTTAAATGGATATAATTTAGTATTTTTTGTATTAATTTCAACCTCGCAATTTAAAATTATTTCGATTTGACCCCTCATCAATGTGTGTTGTTTAATTTATTTAAATTTTTATTTGTAATTTCATATTTGTTCAATTTAATTATTAAATTTGTATTTGTCATAAAATTGAACCATGATTATTTATATTCTTAGTAATTTACTCTAAATCATATACAATTACAAATTGCAATTAAACGTTCGCGAAAGACGAAAATAATTAATCCAAAAATAAAAATTAACCCTATTTGATCTATCTGTATCTGATAGAGATCCGACTTGAATTTTATCTGCCAATGATGTGACCTGATCTGAACGAGATCCGCCTGAATTCCATCCGAACCTAAATTAACCTGCTTTTTAACTGCTTCAGACCTGAATTGTTTTGATCTGAACTGGCAACGATCCGAACTGAAAATGACCTGACCTGAACCCGATCTGGATCTGGTGTCAAATCAACCTGAAAATAACCCGAACTAATTTAACTTGACCTGAACCCGATATGAATCTGATGTCAAATTTACCTAACTTGACATGTATCCGATTTTACCCGACCTACCATGATCCGACTGAAACCTAAACGATTACCCAATTTTACAGCCCTAATAGTGTTAGATGGTCTCGTGGACAAACAAGCACTCACCACTAATTTATTGTAGAACCGGCTTACTTTTTGTCTAATATAAATATTGACACCGTCTCATAAAATAAATAGCGCTTGTGGCCCAATAGATAAGGCGCCTGACTTCTGAACAGGCATATGTGGGTTCGAGTCTCACCAGGTGTGAGCAATGGAATACTTGAAAATAAAGTACATCCCAAACCATACATCATTGCTTTTGTTGTGATCAAAGGTTTTTGTGGGCCAATGAAATATTGGAAGCTAGTATATGTCGTAACCGGTTTTAGGGCGGAATAATTGTTTAATTATTTTTAAACGGTTACGACTTTAATTTGGAAAAATGAGTGATTTTGAATTGATTTTGATAGAAATTGAAAAGAGTCGTCATCAACTTTTGGATTAGGTAGGTCGAATACCTAAAAACGTCTTTTAAAAATAATTTTAAGAAAAATCGTTTTTTAAAACAAAAGCTGGTATGCGTTTACCAAAGATTCGATTAAAAACATATTCGAGAGTTGGTTACGTATGGGGAAGGATTAGCACCCACAACACCCAAAATTGATATCGTGTCTCTTAATCATTGTCGTAATAGTGGAAATCCTGAATCGAATATAAAATTAAATTATAATCAATTTATTGAAATTAATTAATTTCCTTTGAATTGATTAGTTCTTGAAATATATTTGAATAAATAACATAAAATATTGACAACTAGATATTTTACAAATAAATCAGATTAAATAACATGGAATAAACATTTATAATATATGTAAATATAAAAGGATAAAAATAAATTTAATATATTTATGTATATAAGTATATATGATACAACATGTGTATGCAATGAAAATAAAAATAAATAAATTAGTATATACACAAACATAATATGTACACGAGGGTAACGTGCATAAAAAATTAAAATAAAACCTAGGCCTATATGCACTAAATTACATATTTACACACTACCAAGTAACCAGATTTTATGAACACACAAAAATATAATAAAAACCAATTATTAGTAACCTTTACATGTTAACACATTATTGACGAAACTAGATAAGGGATAAGGATCAAAATAAACTAAACAACTAACATTCAAACTAAATCCTAAATGAGACTTTAAATAGCGACCAAGATTTTAAGATAATAATAAAGGTAAAGTCAAACTTCCCAACAAACACACGAAAGACTAAAACAATTAAACACCAATAAGAATAATTAAACGAATAATACGTAAACAATTAAGCATACAAATTCAAAGATGTAAACGGGATTGACTATCAGACATGAAACAAATGCAAACATAAAACACATTTGGTATATTTCCTAAAAATAAGCATTCAAATAAAAGAAAACAGTGGTTAAATTTGATGAAAAATAAAAGGGAGAGCATAATCGAAATTGAGATGTAGTTAAAGGGACTCGAGTAAAATTTTCCCAATAAAGACCATGAGCTGTAAGGAACCAACATGAAATACGCGTAAACTTAAGAGTTAAAAAACAAAAATTCCAGAAATCCAATGGAGGACCAGAATACAACTTATTGAAACTTAAAGGGATCACTCGTTGAATTGTCCCTAACTCTCGAAACGCCGCCGTTTTCATCATCCCCTACACCCTGATTTGAGTAAGAAAGAAACCCTTACCCTCATTTGATTAACTCACAGCCGCAATCCCTCTCTCAAGCCTCCTCTCTCGGTCGAAAACTCAAGCCCCTCTAATCTCCGACCGCTGCTTAACCAGTGGCCCTCTCATGCTCCGATCAGCACCTAGCACAACTGAAAAGGGCTAAATGGACACCCAAATCGACCTAAGAACCATCTATTTCCCTCCTAATAACCTGTTTGAAACCCTTCTCTAAATTTACTCTGCAATTAATCCTAATCTAAGAGCTACCTACCCACTGACCACCGATGAAGACTTGAAACAGAGCTAGGTAAAATGAAACTAATTTCCTCTTCTATTTCTATATTGCTTTTTTTTTTAGTTTTTGAAATAATACATGCACATTCAAATAAACATAAAAAATAAAGAAGAAATCTAAAGAAAACCATAGGAAACGTCTTTTTCTTGTAGTGCTTTTTTCGAACAGAATATGGAAGAGCTTACAATATTTTCTTTTTTTCATCAGGGAAACCCATGTTACAATGCTTGAACCGAATTCCCCAGGGAAAGAACTTCACCCCGTTACAATGAATCCTTAAAAATGTAATGCTCTACTCTCTCTTATCGATGATTTTTCCTCTGTGTTACTATTTTTTCTGGTTCCCCTTCTTTGCGTTCGAGACTCCCCTCATTTATAGTTGCATTTGGTCATTTTTTAATGGTATTTTGAGTGGGTTTACCACTAGAATAATGATAAGATCTCAGTATCTCACCGAATAGGTTAGTGGATTTTGTGATTTGGTCTGATTTTTTAATGATTTGGTTGAAGTTGGCGTAGGCAATGACGAACGTGGCCTCGGTGATCTGCGGTGAAGAAGCGCTCGACAGTGGTTTGGCTGGAGCGTGCACTGTTGCGGCTAGATGATCACGGGCGGCAGCAGCTTGTTTCAACTGTTGGGGTGGCAGCTTGATGGTTTTAGGGTTTCAAAAACCCTAATTTCAGATGGGTTACACTGGGCCAGTTCGGGTACCCTCGGGTCGGATCTGGATCCGGGTCATAAACGTGGGTTAGAACCTTGTAGTGGACTATTGGTTGGCCTTTTATTTAATTTGTAATTGGGCTTGGCCTGCACTTGAACTTTATTTGTAATCTGGACTTGGGCTATTTGGTTTGTAATGGTCCTGCAAATATTATAATATAATTCGAATAATAATAATAATAATAATAATATTTATAATATTAATAATAATAATAATAATAAAGGTACAAAAAATTAGTGTCTACAGTATCATTAAAATTTTTCAATTGCTTTTTATGTTTCCAATACTTAAATTAGAATTGAAAGAAAAGGTCGTTGTGACGAGTCCGATTGTTTTTATGTTTAATATTATATTTAAATATGAAATTCGTAATGATGACATATGGAGAAAAAATAGCGAACCATGAGAAATACACATTAAGAAGTAAAATTATAACACAATTAATACATTACTTTAAGGACGTAAATATGATAAATCTTACACACATTTAACAATAAATCAAATCAGAAATTCAAAAACATTTGTTGCATTTTTTATTATGATGTTCCACTCTTCGTAATTAGTAGACTCGTAAGAAATAAAATTAAAATTTTCAATTCTTTATATTTTTTCTTGTTGTCGTTCAAGTATAAATTGGAACCATGTTTCTAGGTCTCCATCATCTATGTTTGTTGCTTCGTCATTTGTTTGAGTTGTTGGGACGTTCGAGCTGAAAGCACCATCCTCAACCGTACGAGCAAGGTCGAGATCATTGAACTCTACAAAAAATTGACATTAGGAAAAGAATAGTTGAAGTATTCTCAATCATATCAGCAAGGTCGATATCATCACTAAGATGAAACCTCGTGTATGATAGTGGAATTCTATAATATAACAAGGATATTATTCTATTGTTTTGCTAGTTGAACCCTTCTTTGTATATTGAACTTCAACTCATCTAGTTGATTTTTTTAAACATATGATTAAAGATTTGCAATCATAAAAAATAGTTGCCATGGTCGCAAAAAACTCAAGATTGGAAGTGAAAAACTAAGGGTTTTCTAGACCGGTAAAATATTCACCGGACACGTATTTATAGGAAAATAGTTTGTGAGCTGAAAATTTTATGGCATGATGTATTATATTAGATAGCTATTGAAATGCAGGTTGTACCTGATATGAAGTGATATAACAGTACTGAAAATTTTCAAAAATGAGTTGACATTTCACTAAAAAGTTACTGAAGAGGATTAATGGGGCACTAAAAAGTTTTTAGAGAGTATTAATGGTATGTTTTGACATTTTTCGGGCATGGTGCATTATTAGAGATGACATTTCACTGAAAAGTTACTGAAGATGATTATGAGGCACTAAAAAGTTGTTGACCTTTTCTGGTATCCTATATTAATAATGGCCCGTTCTGAAGAGTATTAATGGCTCGTTTTGACATTTTCGGGCATGGTGCATTATTAGAGATGACATTCACTAAAAAGTTACTGAAGATGATTGATGGGACACTGAAAAATTGCTGGCATTTTCTGGCATCATGCATTATTAATGGTCCATTCTGAAGAGTATTAATGGCTCGTTTTGACATTTTCGGGCATGATACATTATTAAATTGGCTTACTTTATCTGTATCTTCAGCAAAAACCTTTATCTAAAAACCTTTTATGAAGATATGGCTAACAAATTATTCATTTTCGTTTACTCAAATAGCGAAGTAACTGAAAATGAGTTCGATGTTGTGTTTCTGTCACAGAAGCCTATAAACATGATGTTACCTGTCGATGTATCGCATCGACAAATGAAAAAAAATTGAGAGCAAACTTGGAGCTTCTATCTCATGTTTGAGCTATCGACACCTAATTTCAGAGAATCTGATCAAATATGGAGCAATCCAGTTTGACGACGATGATGATGTAGCTTTTATGGTTGGCCTACATCAATCTTCAAATAATCAATTGGTTGAGTTATACGTTGAAACTGCATATTTTCTTACATTCTCAACTGCTGAACATGAAGAAGTAGGAACATCAGAAGATCTAGATGACCTTTTCGGGCGACTCGGTGAAACCCTTGGTGATTTTAGCAAGGATGATGAAACTTTTGTTCCACTGATGCTAGACGATGACACACCAATAATTGATTCTTCTGATATCGTCGAGGCTAATTCAGAGGGCTAAGGTTTTGATATATAGGGTGATATCTGAGAGGCAACAGCTGCTCGTGGTCATGTACACTCAAATTCTCAGCGAGGTTGGGCACATTCAACAACACCCAGTTAACCCGAGATGCCACAACCCAAAATTTTTCACTATCATCATCCAGTTGCAATGCATGATATAAGTTATGGTGTCATGAAGAATCCTGAGATTCATGACATGCCGGAGATATGAGCAACCCACTAGGGTACATCAGAAGAATGATCAACAAAGTTGGAAGTTGGGTCGCAGTTTGAAACTAAGAAAGATGCCCAACAAGCAGTTAAAGAGTTTTGTCTAAAAACTCATATGTAATTCATTGTTGCTGAGTTTGATCAGAAGACAAACCTTATCGGGTGTATAAACAACAATTTCAAATGTAAGTATATGATACGTGTGTCATACCTACAGTGGAAGATGTTGTAGGAAGTCATAAGGTTCTACAACCAACACAGTTTCACATTGACGTCCTTGACACAAGACCACAAACACTTGAATTCTGATGTCATATGTGCATACATTAAACTTTTGGTGGAGAAAAATGCAACGATCCTAGTTTCAATGATAATAACATCAATTCAGAGGTTATATTACGTCTTACTACAAGGCATAGATGGCGAAAAAGAAAGCTATGACACTTTTGTATGGTGAATGGGATCAGTCGTACAATGAACTTCCACATTTGTTGCACGCAATGAAATTCATCATCCCATGAACCATTTTTTGCTCTTATACTTATCCTGCGACCATGTTTGATGGACATGTTATCCCAGGGAAGAGAATTTTTGAAGGCTTGTTCTGGGCTTTCGAGTCATCCATTGAAGGTTTTCATTACGACAAATAAATGGTTTAAGTGAATGGTACTTTTTTGTATGGCGTATACAAACACGTCCTGATGATAGCTGTTGCACAAGATGGTGACAAAAACATTGTCCCAATTGCTTTTGTCATTGTTAAAAATGAGTCAGAAGAAACATGAAATTTTTTCCTATTAAACTTTCCCTCTCATGTTGTCACTCAAGATGGGGTTTATATGATCTCTGATTGTTCACCTGGGTTGTTGGCCATGATTAATAGAATGGAAAGTAAGGGGTACCTCACCATGCATTCCCAACATATTGCATCCGTCATATTGCGTCAAATGTCATGACAAGGTTTAAAAATAAGAAAATCAAGAAAGAGATTATCAACATGGGTAACTTATTATTTTTTCCCTTCATTTATGTTCTTTATTTATTATTATACTTAAATCTAACTTTTTCAGGATACGCTTTACTTCAACCGAACTTCCGAGCAAGGTTGGAAAATATGAGGAAATACGGACAAGAGGTTTATAACTTTGCAACTGAAATACCTCAAGAAAGATGGTCATAGACATATGATGATCAAGGTCAACGTTAAGGTCATATGACAACAAATCTTGCTAAATGTACCAATTCAGTACTTAAAGGGACTAGACATCTTCCGATGACAAGTATTGTTTGGGAGACTTACTTTAGATTGGGTAAACTATGGGTAGACAAATTTTCCCAAGTGAAGGCAATGATTAACGAAGGCAGAAATTGGGCTCCAGAATTGGAGAAAGCAATGAACAAAAGTCAAACACATGCAACATCAATGTATCTTCATAATTTCGCCAGATCGATTCTGATTACATTGTCCAAGCACTTGTTCGACCACAAAAGGGTGAAAATTCTGCCACCTACACTGGTAATTTGAATAGAATATGGTGTGATTGTGGTCGATTTCAAACCTTTAGATACCCATGCGCTAACATGGTAGTTGCATGTATGCATGTCAACGTATACCCATACTCATAAGTTGATGATTGTTGTAGCGTGTATACTATGTGAAACATATATAGTTGTGAATTTAAGTATCTCCTAAATGTTGCATATTGGCCACCAACTATTTCTGAGGAATGGTTGCCCAATCCACAATTACGAAGGAAGTTAAAGAGTCATCCTGAATCTAGTCGAATTCATACTGATATGGATGATCTACAACGAAAGCAAGGTCTATCAAAGCTTTGTGGCCACTGTAGAGGTGAAGGCCGCAATAGGAAGAAATATCCACATCTTCCAAAATATTGATCGAGCCGATAAACCTTCATATTTGTATAGTTTCAAATGTTGTCTGTTGCACTTGTTTTGGATAATTTATCAATATCAATAACCATATACTTAACTAAACTCAAAATCATGCACATATTTAACTAAACTCATATTCATACATATATTTAAAATATTTTTCAACAAAATAAACAACTTTTCCTCATCTTTTTCCTTTAGATAAGTCATTTGTTGCGTATGTTTTCTAAGTCCCCCTCCCCTTCCCCCTCCTCCGTTTTTATCTCCTTATATTGATTAAGAATCGACTTTATTGACTCTTTCACCCATTCCTCATTTGAAGACAAGCTTGAATCTAAAGCATCAATATCAGGGTAATTAGAAGCAAAATGATCTTTCGAAAATTGCCTAAAATATTCTTCCCACAACTGCATGATTTTGTTCCCATATAACTATATCAATTATCCCAACTCCTTTATAGATGAAATATTCTTAAAATGACCGTTGGAACTCGTCACGCCCACAGGACGAGTTCCAACGGCTATAAAATAGATATAATTCAACGGAACTCTTCACCTCGAAGTGACGAATTCTAACGTTTTTTTTCAATTTTAATTTTAAGTATATTACTGGAAAATTTAATAATATTTTAAAACAATTCATCACCTCGAGGTGACGAGTTCCATAAAAATAATAAAATAATACATTCGTAATAAGTAAATAATATCTCATGGAACTCGTCACTTTGAGGTGACGAGTTCTCCCTGAATTGTAGTAAATGTTGTAGATCCCTAATTAAAAATTAAAGTGCCCTGAAACTAGGAATGGGCATAGGTCGGGTTGAGTCGGGTTTTTG